AGCAGCAGCAGCAGCAGCAGCAGCAGCAACAAACCCTACAGTCCAACCCCAGAGGAGCGCCCTCAGAAATCAGGACCCCACTGGCCAGCCTGGGCGACCCCCCTGCTTTCTCCTACTGCCTGCCACTCCTGAGAGACCCGCCTGAAGGGCAAAGGGGCAGCCCCTCGGCTGGCCGAACTTTGCCCAAGATGCTGTGGGTTTTATCGCGCACAGCCTTGAGGCTGCTAATGGGGACTTAAAGATTTCAGTATTTATACAAATGGTGAAAGTGCAAAGATTAGGTGGCTTGTCTTCTGGATTAATGGCCATATAATCAGTCAGCCAGAGACCCACCATCTTAGCCTTGCCATAATATTTGGGCGAAGCAGAAGCAGAAACAGAAGCAGAAGGGGCTGTTTATGTTCACACCAGACATTTTGTGCGAGAGAATAATTTACAGCCCTTGCTCCTCTGTTGCTCAAAAAAGTAAACGCTCCCATAATTTCACCAAATCTCCTTCTGTTTATACAATGTAATTGATGGGGTGACACGGGATAAATAAATCCGGGGCTCTGCTTCAAACTACAACACGTGGGGCTTTCAGGGTGGCTTCCAACATTTTTCCTTATTAATTGCAAACTCAGGTGCGGTGAGGTGGAACAAAAAGACACTTTTAAACAGTGTGTGTGTGCATGTGCGTGCGTGCAAGCTTGCCAGAGAAAAGAGGGCTGAGGGACGGCTGAAGCCCCGAGGGCAGCTCGCAGAGGACAGCCAGCGGAGGCGGCCAGCTCGCAGGGCGTGAGCACGGGGTGAGCAAGGCTGGGCCTTTGTGTGGGAAAGTGGTCGCTGGCCTTTGCTCCTTTGCCTTTTTATCTGATTCACTCATTTTTTAAAAGGACGTCTAAAAATAGTGGAGGCTGCTTGGAACCCAGCAGCATCGCTGGCGCTGCGGTTGCCAAGACCCCCAACAGGAAGAAAAGCGGGGTGAGGTGGAAAGGCAGCCGGGCAGGGCCGGGCAGGGCGCGAGGCCACGAGAGCGGGGAGCCCCGTCCCGTCACCTGCCGCACAGCCGCTCCCGGCCCCGCCAGATCTGAGAGGAGAGGCCTGCTCCGGATCCGTCCATTTGGGAGGGTCATCTGCCGGGGCCCAGGAAGGGGGCCTCGTCTGTTGCGGGGCTGCCCTCTGGAACATCATCCCCCCAGAGATCAGACTCGTCCCAGCCCTGCTGGCCTTTCGTAAGGCCTCGAAGACCTGGTTTTGTTACTGAGCCTTGGGCTCCAGGGGTGCGGTTGAGCCCGTATCCTGGTTGTGTTAATTGTGGTGTTGGTTGGTCTTTTATTTTTATATGTTATTTACTGTTTTGCTATAGTGTTTCTATCTTGCTTTTAATCATTGTTAGCCACCATGAGTCATGTATCTGAGAAGGAAGGCCATATAAGTTCAACCAACCAACCAACCAACCAACCAACCAACCAACCAACCAACCAACCAAAAGTCTACATTGGACTTGACAGGAGTCAAGCCATTTTCAGTGCTAATCCTTTTTTAAAGAAAGGTCAGTTTGGAAAGGTCAGTGTTGTACCAGTTGGGGTCCAGGGAGAAGAGCCTCCGTTCTTTGCTCTCCAGCGCTGCCTAATCAGCCGGCCTTCACGGCTGTCCCCTTTGCAGGAGAGGATGCAGACAAGCACTCTGGAGGGATGCTGAGAGTAACACACGGCGGAGGCCCCAATGGCCCAATGTGCTCCGGGGAGTCATTGCACAAAATCCATGTCAGGGTGCGCATGACACGCCTCCTCCCTTCCTCTCTCCCCCCCACCCCAGACATCTGTGGGATTGGCTCCCAGGAACCTTCTCATCTAAGAAACGCAGAAAGCCATGATCACCAGCTTTAATAGGGGCACTGCTGGCACATTTCAAAGACTCCAATCTATCAAGAAAGTCTGTTGATCAGATGTCAAACCCTGCCCCAAAGATGGAGTCATACTTTGGACTTTGCTGAGAGGGGCTGGAAGTGATGCCAGAGTGATCTCTCTCTCGGGGGGAAGATCTGTGCTGGAAGGCCCAGCTGGAGGAAACTGCTCACCGCGATCTACAGTGTCAGTGCACATTTTCCATAGACCTCAAGGGAAAAGAAGGCAAGGAAAGTTACCATAAACAAGATAGAAGCACAGTTCACGAGATAGCCAGGCGTGCGGTCTCTCCAAGTCAGTTTTTCCTCTTCCTCCTGGAACAAAACAAAAGGCTGGAAATACAAGCTGCAAAACTATATTCTGCTAAATAAGCAAAAGGAAATGCTTGGGTAATAATTCAGCGTTCAAACAATACAGAAGCCATTCGGCCCAGGACGGCTTCGGGCAAGTGTTATTCTGTGGCATTTGTATCACTAAAAGAATCCCCCAACTCCATTTGCCATGGATAACCCACTGATTTTAACCCGGAAGAGATGCTGTTTGGGTCATAGGTTTTAGACTTTGAAAAAATAAACCACAAAGAATGTATCCCCTCTGCCAGGGTGGAGTCTATCGGTGGGGAGGTGTTCTCCTTTAAGAAGACGTCGGTGGCAGAGTGTGGATACGTCGCCAGACGGTGCTTCGGCTGCTGTGAGACCTGCCTCTGCCTCCGGTGGGGCTTCCTCAACCCCAGAATTCGCTGGGTAGCCGTGGCCAGCAGGAGAGGGATTGGAGTCCTGCCCCAGGACGCATAAAAAGGTAGCGGGGCTTTCCTCACGGGGCCAGAGTTCCCAGCCTTTGCAGACTGATTCTTCGATCCGCAGTTGCCAGAATGACACGCGGTGCCCATGGTACACCCTTCTCCCTACATTTCTTTTATCTCAACGTGGCACGCAGGCCACCATTAAGGTAATGGGGAAAGCTCTGATCTTTCTAAAAGCCAACATCCCACCTGATCTCTGGGCTTGCTTTCTCATATCTTGGCGGTTTCTATCAGTGAACCTCTACAGAGAGACTCAGGAGGGTCGCTAAATTGTGCTCAGTGGCCATTGCCACATGTAGCCATGGATTTCGCTCCCTGGTACGGATAATTCAGCAATTACAGTAAACCTTCTTTAAGCGCTTCCTGTATTCCTGCTGTTTATTTGTGCTGCTGTATATTGCTTTTAGGTCTCGGACCTAAAGTGTAAAAAATACACGTGTCCATCAACTTAAAAGTTCAAAGAAGTTTTGTTGAAATTCATTCGATAAGCAGTGTGATTGCATTTTATCCAGTAGCCACTTTAAACCTTCTTTTAACCTCTAGATCCCATGTTACTTTTTGGGGAGAAAGCTTTCCTACATAACACGTGCACCAAATCTCCCGATGGTGGCCTGAAGCCTAGTGATTCTCAAGACCGGTGTTTCTCAACCTCAGCAACTCTAAGCTGCGCGGACTTCAACTCCCAGAATTCCCCAGCCAGCCTTGCTGTTGAAGCTGAAGTTTATTTATTTATTTCTATTTATATTTCAAATTTGTCACTGCCCATCTCACTGCAAAGTTGAAGTCCACGCATCTTAAAGTGGCCGAGTTTGAGAAACTCTGCTCTAGAGGTTTCTCTACATTCGGGAAGCATTCTTTATTTTGCCATAGCCATTTGTAGTTACCTAACAAAACTCAAAAGCCTGAAAGATGATTAAAATACAGAAAGAAAAAGGAGAGAAAAAAACAGCAGCCGCCACAACTCTTACAATATGCCTATCAGTACAAATGGGTCTATCGTTCGGGAGTTCCTTCAGATGAGGAACCTCTGATTTTCAATATCTTGATGCTTTTATTTTGGCTTTGTTAGCGAGTTTGATCATACAGTCTATCCGTTACTGCTAAAACCTAATAATTTCCAGTTATCCTTCCTATGTCATTAATTAATTAATTACAGGGTTTTTCACATTCTCTCTCCCCGACACCCCTCGCCACAATTCTGGGCAGTGCACAAGGACCAAAGAAGAGAATTCAGGCAAGAACGGTTCCCGTAGTCGCCTTGCGTCACGCAGCAAGTTAAACACAGACACCCTTGTGGTTTCTAGGGGGTCTCCGTGTTCACAAATACGAGACATCGGTCGAGGTGTAAAGAACGGGGAGGTTAGAAACCAACCCCCCGCTTACTTTTCAAGCAGCTTCTTTCACCTTTTTTTCTTTCCACTTTGTTATTTTTTAAATATTTATAAACAACAACAAATAACAATACGGTGGAGACCTTAGCTTTAAGTATGACGCTTAGGATAGAAACCAAAATCATACTACAAAATAACGGCATGCATTTTGCCATTGTCTAGCAATGCTACCCTCAGCTCTCACTGTACAATTTAAGCACCCTTATGTTCATTAACGTTTCAGAAAACATAGTTCGTATTGATATAAACTTTTTTCCTTATCTTTAAAGGTTTAAGTTGTCTAAAGCATCATAGTGTTAACAGTCTCTGGTTAATACTGTATAAATACTGCTATAACCAAATAATACAATGTATTACTTGCATCTTATAATACAATAAAACAATATAAAAAGCAATAAAAGAGCTGTCCGATAATCTTTCTCACAATTAAAACCTAAAACCTCAATAAAGCTAGAGATAGCAATACTATAATAACATTAAGTTTTAGACAATCAAAATTCTCCTTGCAATAACTCAGATAGATCTAACAACTTGACCAGCTGGCCTTGAGCATTATTACCCCTGATTGGTAGATAGATAGATAGATAGATAGATAGATAGATAGATAGATAGATAGATAGATAGATAGATAGATAGATTTTCCCTCTGGAATTTTCAGACTGGGATTATTCCGAGTGTAAATTTATCATGTGAGTAAAGACTAAAATTATATTTCCCTCTTAGCATCTTCCAAATATGCCTTACACCCTATAATGTAGGAAATATAATACAATTTATATTAAATTGTCTTAAGAGGTGCCAAGCCCCTGCTTTGATTTTCCCAGAAATCAAAATATATCCCCATTGATAAAGCTGAAATTAGGAAAGTTACCTTCTTCCCCATCATTCTAGGAAAGTTGCACTTTGGATAAAGATCTTTTTTCTTCCCATAGAAAATGCCCTAATAACGTATCCGTCTCCCTTCCTTTATGCCTAAAATGTCTTTCATTTCCTTAAAACAGGATTGGTTCCAAGATCAATCTAAATATAAGAGGTGATAAAGGGTATCTTTGATAGATAAGACAATTCTATTGGTAATTAACCTGGCAGAAAGATTAGAGTGACCCATTTCAATCCAATTATAATCCAATTAATTAAAAAGAAGAAGGAAATCCAGATTTGGCCAGAAATTTGTTTTAAAATGTCCACTATATTTTGCATTAAAGCAAAAATTGGGAAGTGCAATGAGAATACAGCGTGTATAGACCTAGTTTTTCCTCTTCAGCAGGTCATTGAGAAATGCATGAATTGGAGAAGGAAAGTTTACTAGATTTAAAGAAAATATGTGCTAAAGAGGATCGGTTTGAATTATGCAATGTTTTGCATAGAAATGGGTTGTTGAATTCAATAAGAGTGGTACAGCATGTGGTGGAAGTCAAGTATGCATGGGAATGAATACAATATTTAATGCATAACTGAACATTGAGCTGGGAATAAGTCAAGGACCCTCTGGATTGTTTAATATACTTATGGATAAATGGATAGAGAATGCTGGTGGTAACCTTAGAGATGGATTGTCTGAGCACATCAGCATACATGCATTTTTGTAAAGACGTGATGCCGTGTTGTTGGCCCAGAAGATGAACGATTTGCAGCAAATATTGGACAGGTGATATGATGCAACAAGTAGCACAGATCTCAAAATTAAGGTTAGGGTTAAGTTATCAAAGACCAGTGTAACTATGTTTAACAGAGAAATGGAGGTGAATCATTGCAAGTTAAATATAAATGGTGAATTGAACAACTAGAATGTTCACTAAATATGTGAAAATGGATGGAGAAATTTTAAGATGTGCAATGGGTGGCAGAAAGGCGGGGGTAGTACAAGGTCTGTGGTGAGAAATACATGCCTGTCGAAAGAACCAAAAATAGCTGCGTATAAGAACCTGCTTCTGCCTGCTTCCTTCAGTGGAACTGGGAGTTCGATATTTCAGGAAAAATGTGAAAATAGGTTGAGTGCCCTGGGAAATTTTATTTATTTATTTATTTATTTAAATTTATATAGCTGCTCCTTTCACATATTATGGTAAAAGCAGGAGAGGGCCAAGGATGAATGCCTCCAGAATGAATGTGGGTGGAATACAAAAGTAGGTGGCTGGAATAAAAGAAGGCCTTTGAGGTGGCTGCGTAATGTAGAGAGAACGAAGGAGGATCAATTTCCACAACCATTACACGAAGAAAGAGTTGATGGGCCAGGAGGAAGCAAATGTCTCAGAGATTGTGGCAGGATGGAGCTGCTGAGATGCTGAAAAAGAAAGAGGTGATATTTTTGCGATATGTGATATTTTTGGCTCTGTGCTTTTTTGTATCACCAATAAATAAATAAATAAATAAATAAAAAATCTACCATACAGTTTTACTTGTAATTGTTTTTTCGGTTGGACGTTTTTCATGAAAATAAACAGTCTTAAAAGCATATGGGTCCCTAAGCTATCTGTTCATATGAATTATTTTAGTCCTGTGCAATTCAAAGCGCTGGTATTTACCTACAAACCCCACCCTGCAGGGTCGTCTACTTCAGATGGATCCTACCCATTCAGTGCACTGGCCCTGTGGGTTCCTTCTCCACAAGAGGTTCAGGGAGAGCAAGACATCAGTGCTTGATGCGGCAGACCCACCTCTCTGAAGCAGCTTCCTGCTGGAGATCTGGATGGTGCCGTCACTCCTGACCTTCAGGAATGGCTTGAAAATGGAGCTCATTCAGAAGGGCATCTGGGGGTTGACAGCTGTTGCTGGACAGCTATTTATATCAGACTTAATGGTATTGTTCATACATGATTTTATTGGTTTTCCTTTATTATGTTGATTGATTGAGTTGCAATATATTTTGATTTTAACTGTGCGCTGCCATAAGTCCTTGAGAAATGTGGGGGTATAAAATAGAGTAAATAAATACATCATAAACAAAGAGGCCTAATATCCTAATTGCACAGTCAATAAAGTTAATATTCTTTACACCTACATCTGTTCTTCTATAAAATTAACAAATAAAATTACAAGTAGTCAATCATCCATATTTTAGCTTTTCCCAATAAAATCAGGAAACAGGCAAAATTGCCTTTGTTCGCTGAAGCATTTAAAG